CCGCCAGCAGCGCCTGTCAGCTTGCCGCCAGCAGCGCCTACCAGCTCGCCGCCAATAGAGCCAGCCTGCACACCTGCCAGCTCGTCACCAGCAGCCTTCGCCCGCAGCTGCCAGCTCACCAGCATGCCAGCTCATCAGCTCGCTGCCAGCTCGCCACCTCGATCCCAACTTGCCGCCTCTTGCTACCAGCCCGTCGCCAGCCAGCCGCCACTGTCGTCTTACTGTCACTAGCTTCTGCTACTGTCAGCCTACCGCTAGTCGCCACTGCTGCTACCTCCGTTAGTGCTCCTCTAGCCCCTAGTGCCTCCCACTAGTCTCCTCCTCGTTTCTAGAGTTCCTCAATGCCTCTCCTCTCAACATGATGGCCTCGTTAGGGTCAGTACCTCGGCCAAACCGCCGGGCACTTCCCTCCGCTTTCCGATTTCTTGCTCACCATCTACACCTGGTGAGCCTGCACGCAGATTGCATCCTCCTAGAGGATCACATTAGTTACCTCCTTGTCTTCTGGCTCCACGACCTCGACGTCTGCTTCCGGGTTCTCTAGCCAGCGCCGCAGCCGCAGCAATTGCAGCAGCAGCAGTGGCAGCAGCCGCAGCGGGGTCTTGGGGGTATTGGGCCGGTGGAGGCTCTGGAGGTGAGGCCCCGAGGCGGTCACTACCTTGGGGCCAGTGTGGTTCCTATGGAGACCCTGGGGCCTGGGGGCCCAAGGTTCTAGGTCCCACTCCAGTGTGTCCCCTAGGCTCCTCCCGTGCCCCTCCTATGGCGGCCCTCTCCTTCATACTCGACTCAGGCGCGTCTCGCTACTTCTTCCGAGATAGTACTGCTCTTACCCCGCTTCTTGCACCAGTCCAGATCTCCCTAGTAGACTCCCCCGCCACAGTAGTCGCACACAACACCACCACTCTCCCTTGTCTAGCTGTCCCCTTGGCTCCCTCACAGGTCTATACATCCCTACGCTTGCCAGGAACCTAGTTGGTGTCGACCACCACCATGACCGAGGAGTCTGCACCACGTTTCCTAGCTAGGCAAGGCACACATACTGTACGGACACAGCCACAGGTAGACACGTAACCACTTTTGAGTGTGACCCAACGTTCAGTCCCTTCACCCTGCACACTGAGTCACTGCCAGTTGCTGCGTCTGCCGAGATAGCCGCCTCGTGCTCCTGTCGCTCCCTCACCCATCCGACCCTTCTGTGGCACCCCCACTCAGGTCACCCTACACTCATGCGTCTTAGGCACATATCCCAGCACGGTTTAGTTACTAAGTTTCCTGCATCGCTCCCCGCCTTGCCTGCATCGGTGGTGCCACTGGGCACCTCCTTCGTCGAGGGTTGGCAGCGCGCCGCCCCTCACTCATCCTCGTTTCCTCCTACGACATCGCCGCTAGAGATACTGCACATGGACATCTGGGTCCCTGCTCCGATCTATGGTCTTAGCCGGGAGCGCTACGTTCTAGTCATCGTTGACGACTTCTCGTGCTACACCACTGTGTTTTCGCTGGAGCGGAAGGCCGACGTGCCTTCCGTTCTCGTGCCATGCCTACTCGCCGCTCGCACCCAACACCACCTGCATGTGGTTCGTTTACACTCTGACCGTGCTGACGAGTTTGCCTCTAGCAGTCTAGGATAGTTCTGTCGTATGGAGGGCATCTGCCAAACGTACACACTGCCAAACTCCCCACAGCAGAATGGGGTCGCTGAGCAATGCATCCACCTGGTCATGGAGGTAGCTCGCACCTCTTGGTTTACGCCAGTGCACCCCATTTTCTGTGGCCGCTCGCTGTGCGTTATGCAACTCTCCAGCTTAACATGTGGCCGCGTTCCTAGCGACCACAGGTTTGGTCGACCTGTTTTGGACTAGGTCTCCTAGTATTGCTGCTATGATCCACATCTGGGGTAGCCTTTCTCACGTCCGCGCCATTGGCGCAAACAAGCTCTCAGCCTACACTCGCCCATGTGTTTTCTTCAGGTTTCCGCTTGACGCCGTGGCTGGCTGTTTTACAAACCGGTCCACCACCGCTTCTACCGCTCTCGTGACATTATTACCTTCGACGACATGCTCCCCTACTACCGGCGCTTCCCTCATCGCAGCTTACCTGTACCTCCTCCCCCTCTCTTCCTCGCAGCTTACATGGCATGTGGATCTATATGGTGAAGCGCGCACCTAGAGAGCCGCCGACGTTCAAGGCGCGTTATGTGACTAGAAACTTCAGTCACCGAGCTGGTGTGCACTTCTTTCACACCTTCTCCCCGACTCCGAAGATGACTACTCTTCGGGTGCTCCATCACCTAGCTGCGTAGCATAACTAAGAGCTTTATTCACTCGACTTCTCGATAACCTTCCTGCAGGGTAGCCCGCATGAGCAGATCTACCTCCGGCGCCCAATAGGCTTCTCTAGGTCCTTCCCACTGGAGACCCAGTGGAGCCTGCGCCGCCCTGTCTACGGCATGCGTCAAGCGTCCCGTGAGTGGCACGACACTCTTCGCACCATACGCGCTGACTTGTAGTTCTTTCCGTCCTCTATTGACCCCTCTCTCTGTGTTCGCATACGCCAGACCCCATTCTATATCCTACTGTATTTTACGATCTTATCTTTGCTACTCTTGGCAGAGGCGCAATGGCCTTAGTGAAGGCCGAGTTACTTAGGAGGCACACCTGTACAGACCTGGGGGAGCTGAGGCGTTATCTGGGCTTGGAGATCTATCGTGAGCCAGTCGAGCCTAGTGGTCCATACGCAGAGTTGGTGGGGTGCCTCATATACCTGATGACCTGCACTCGACCAGATCTAGCGTACCCTCTCAGTCTCCTTGCTCGCTTTGTTGCGACAGGCAGACACCGACCAGTCCGCTGGTTGGCTGCTTAGAGGGCACTGCCGTATCTGGCGAGTACATCAGGACTGGGGCTTGTGCTAGGAGGACGGGAGCGAGTGCTACTCACTGGACAGACAGACGCGTCGTAGGCTGACGAGTTCAAATCGCTCAGGTACTCTCAGGGCTATTGTTTTTGTCTTGAATCTAGAGCAGTCTTGTGGAGGTCAACTAGGTCGTCATCTGTAGCTCAGTTCAGTTGTGAGGCAGAGATCTACGCTGGGGCCATGGCCGCTCAGGAGCTCTGCTGGCTGTTGTTCTTGCTCACTAACTTACAGTAGGTGAGCCACCTCGGTCTGCCCCGATCCTATTTGCTGACAACAGGGCTATGATCCTCCTATGTCGGGAGGCTTGACTAGAGTGCAGGGCGAAGCACATCCAGCTGCAGTACTTCCTGCTGCATGAGTTACAGCAGCGGAGTCAAACTCGTGTAGTACAGGTGGCTTAGAGGCCAACACTGGTGATATCTTCACAAAGGCATTGGCATCTTGTGACCATAAGCGATCTTGTACTCTGCTTGGTCTAGTCTCAGTAGCAGCTCCACTCCTTGTATCCTGATATATACTATACTTGCTTGTACTTGTTGTGCTATAATTGCATGCCTTGCTATACTTGCTGACTGACCTTGTGGCCTGTTGACTTAATGGTTTAACTAGTACTTCTGCCCTGGCTTGTTAAACATTGCTTCTACCTAGGCTAGGGGGTGTATCAATAAAATATATTGCCATAAACATGGCAAAATAGCAGAGGGGGGGCCCTCTTGATCCAACCCTCCTGAAAAAAGCTAAGTCCCTTTTTGGACGACGAGACATCTGGTCGCAAGAGAGCACTACTTCGCGCCAAACGAAATGAAAAAACAAAAACTTCCCTCCCGTTGGTCGGATCTAAACACATGGGCAATCTGGCGCGAGAATGTGCACGCAAAACAAGAGTGTGAATTTTCCCACGTCGGCAGCCCGTCGCACAGCGTGTCGCACGATTGAGCAACGAGGGTGGCGAGAGGGTGTCGGGAACAAGGGGGTCCGTCTTGAATTTCAAGAGGGAGCCCCCTCTGCTATTCCTGCACAAAGCGAGGCACTCCAAGCGATCTGCCATAGCCCGACACTCCGACTGCTAGCAGTGTAAAATACACACCACCCGGCTGCACCCTGCAAGACGGTCTCCATTTTCCCGAACTCCGATTCCCTCTCCCACTTCCTGTTGCTTCCTGCTTCCCGCCTCGCGCTTTTCACGACCCGCTGCTCGCTGCAACCGGCCACCCGCTTCCCACTTCCCGGGTCCCACTGGCCGCTGCCTCCCGCTTCCCGCGTCCCGCTTCACACTTCCCGCTCGCCGCTTCCTACTCCCCGCGTTCTGCGTCCCGCGTCCTGCTCCCCACTTCCCGCCCGCCTCAGGCTTGCCTCCCGCTCCCCGCTCCCCTCTCCCCGCGTTCCGTGACCCCGGTCGCATTCCGCTTCCCTCTTCCTGCTGCCTCCCGGCTTCCCGCTTTCCGCTCCCTCTTGCCGCGTTCCCCTTCCCGCTCCCTGCTTCCTGCTTTAACCTCACTCTCACCCTGCCCATCCCTCTCACTCCCACGCTGCCCGTCCCTCTCCCTCTCATGCTGCCCGTTGCTCTCCCTCTCATGCTGCCTGTCCCTCTCCCTCTCACGCTGCCTGTCCCTCTCCCTCTCATGCTGCCCGTCACTCTCCCTCTCACGCTGCCCGTCCCACTCCCTCTCACACTGCCCGTTCCTCTCCCTCTCACGCTGCCCGTCGCTCTCCCTCTCATGCTGCCCATCGCTATCCCTGTCACGCTGCCCGTCCCTCTCCCTCTCACGCTGCCCGTCATCTCCTGCAACCGACACCCCCCGTTCCTCGTGCTCTGCTGCCCATCCTCTCCATCCTCTCGTTCTGCCCATCCCTCACACACACTTCTCCCTTCTTTCTCCCTCTATGCCCATCCCTCTGGCCCTCTCTCCTCCTGTCCCTCACACTCAATTTGTTGCAGCATGGTGCTCTGTGAGGTACCTAGAGGTGGCGGTGAAGGATGTACCAAGGGTCGATGCGAGGCATCTCAGTGTGGCGCCCGCACTCGCATATACCAGTGGCTCAATATCTCAAACACTATAGCCGTCCTTAATAGTGGCATGTTCTACTGTAAAGTAATGCAATATAACTCGTGGCAATTGTGCAAACATCTGACATACTGAGAAAAAAATTATGGATCCAACCCCTCGGGCGTTTGGTGGGGGGGTCGATCAAGTGGGGTCCCAGCTGGATAACCCCTCTGCTATTTTGCCATGGGGTTTTAAGAGAGCAAGCCACCATATTCTGCCGAAGATTAGACAAATCAGCACATGTGGGATGCAATTTTGGGGAGCTTTTTCAAAATGTCAATAACCCATTCCAAGCGTTGCATTCTTTGGCACGGTCATGCAAACTACACAATTGTTTCTTGCTTTTCATACATGCATACATCGTATCATCATACTACTCCTACATAAAGAAATCATGCACGTTACACTACTGACACCCATTGCGAGAACAAAACATCTTAGACGCTGCATGCTAGGTTGACGCTTGCAGATCCCCTGCGATGGCACATGCAAAATGGATGAGATGTGTGAATGTTTCATGTTTCTATCACACAGATAACTACGTTGAAAGTTCATAAGCTCACCAGTTTGGACCATGGTCGCCAAAATTCTTGGAGAAGCCTGAAAAGGAGTATGCCCAAATAATGTTGTTTGTGCCCACATACTTGATCGGCGACAAGCCCGTCTTGCCGCTCCGGGTGAATCTGAGAACGCAAGGATGTGAAACATGGGAATGTGTTGATGCATTGCTGAAAAGCATGATGTCTCGTTGTCAGCAGCAGTTGTGGCAGCCATCACCATAACTGGTACACGCCCTAAAAAGACATTTCAAGACAACTCACTTGATAATTGTTCCTGACACGCTGCTCGTAACTGACGTCGCTGTCACTTTGAATGCGGATGATGGCACAACAGAAGACATGCTGTAGCCGTTCATGGCGTACGCCTTAACACGAGTTGGTGCGGGGAGATTCCCCACGACCGCATCTGCAGGGTACATTCGCCCGGGGCTCTGAACCCATGCAACGGAAATCCACCCGTTCGTCGCTCCACCGCCTGCCTGTGCGACGATAGCTCCATAGAGTGTCGTTCCGACAATTTTCCAGTGGAATAGGAGCCTGATGAGGCAGGGAACCGGAGTTTGGGGGGAAGGCGGGGGGGGGGGGGGGAAGTAAAAATGGGGACTAAATGACGCAGTGTTCAAAGTTTCGGAGCACAGGGAAAACCCAACTTCGTCTAAGGAGAATTATAGCTACGAAGCATTTAAGGGTTGACTTGTCATGACATGACATGTTCGTAACGTCCGTTACTGAAGCGCTTAGGGAAAGCACGAAACATTTTCACCGAAAAGAATGCATTGATGCGCACAATCACTCCCTAGCGTCTGCACTTCCGCATGGAATACACATCGGAGATTGTGGGGGTTGGGTTGGCGCCTTGTACACAACTCGTGAACAAGTCGGGTTGGAGATGGTGGGGTTCGGGAGATTTTCAACACGCGGGCAATAGCGCAGGTGAGTTGAATTCAAGAAGGCGAACTGAACCGAGGCGCGTTCGGCAATTTCGCGCTTGATTGGCAGCACGAAAACAACACGCCCTCGCATCGGGATTACCATCACCGCATGATTCTGAAGTGGCCAGCGAACTCCACGATTTTAGTCGGCCAGTCGTAACGGCCATGAAGGTTAGAATGAGGGGCATGGAAACCCGTAATTCTGTTAGGGTAGAATGTAATAGGACGTTTCAAAATATTTTATAGCAACCTCGACATAGTCAGATGTGACTATAAATTATAGTAGCGGTAGTCACCTTGCAATTAAATTGTGATTCAGTATATGCATGGTATTGTCTTTTACCTAAAGTATTCATTTCCGCTATAATATTCAATTTAACTATCTATTGAAAGCTTCTACATACATACTTCTACAATTCATAGGTCATGCAGTCAAATTAGAATCAGAACTGTTAGAAATACTTCCTACTCTACCCCTACCACCTCTTCCCCTACCTCCTCTTCCCCTCTCCTTCCCTTTTTCCTTTCACTGCTCCTCTTCATCTACTCCCTCGTCATAAGTCTCCTCATCCAGCTCATCACCAAACATATCCTGCTCAAGGACAGCCGCTTCGACTGGAGTCCAGTTGTACAGATAGAGCCGGCCGATGTGAATAGCCCCAGTCGCATTTGGAACGGCTCTCACCCTGTTGATGATCCTCTGAACAATCCTTGCCTGCCTTGCAAGTGCATCACAGTCTCCTGACCGCTCTAGCTGAAGCTTGGTGCTCGTTGGGTTCCTCAGCTTGTATCGGACCTGCCAAGGGTTCAAGTTGATGGAATGTTAAAGTGAGATTGTGAGTAGAATCAAAGCATAAAAAAATGCTAGAAAACACTTACAACAGCCATCGAGAGGACTAGCTGTTCGGCCTGAAGCCCAAGAATGGGAGCGTACCCACCATTCCACACCCGCGCAACAGCCACAAATGCAGGGCTGCTGAATGGCACTCCATTGGCTCCAACATGCCATTCCGTACCCTCCCCACCTGCATTTGATCAAGTAATCAGACTTAAATGAACAAATACAATACACGAAGAAAAAGAACTCAAGGAAAAATACTTACGTGTTGCATGGGAGGCCACATAATCAAGGCACTGCGTGGCAAAATCCAGAGATACATTTTTGGAACTTGAGCCAGAAGGGATGAACGGAATAGGGTCATTAGCAAATGCAGCCTTGCGAATGTCAGACAGTTTCTTGCCCAACCTGTTGTTGAAGGTGGCAGCAAAGGCTTTCACATGCCCTCCTACGACAGCTTCTCGCTTGAACTCATTCGCGTCCGGCAGGTTAGGGTCAATATGAGCCACAGCTGCACATGGTAAGAGACTAGTTATAATGACAAGAACAAAAAAGAGGAAGCAATATGAACCCTAGTATCTGAGTACTCACAACAGAGCGCGTTTATCCAGTACTCATCATCTGGAGCGAAGTTGATGTGCCCTGGACGGTTGAGGGACTGGTATATCGCCTTTTTTTTGTACAACTGTATATGGAAACCATGTGCATTAGCAACGGCCTCAACAATGAAAGGTAGAACAAGAGTGAAAACACTTACAACCCACGTGCTGCTGGACGTGGTGGATCGAGCAAGTTGCCCTGCAAGCGTGTTAACTGCAACCAGGGCCTGTGCAGCAACTTGGGAGTTACGCTGCACAGCCTCCCGAGCCTCATTAGCCGCCTCTTCAGACTGCATGATGGACAGCCGCCAATTGTCTGGCACCTGGGACGAGCGGAGAGGAGCCTCTTGGAAACGGGGAACTTTGGGAGCATTAGTGCCAGCAACAAGACTCAGCAGACGAGCACCTGTAACACCATAACCTGGAGAACAAGAACTTAATGATTAGAGTGGATAGTAGATAAGAGACCATACTAAACGGTTACGAGAGAAGGAACATGCACATTACGAGAGTACCATACCTGCTGGTGAAGGTGAGCTGTTAAGGCCTGAACCTTGCAGAGGAGCAATTGTAGCAGGGGGGTCTGCTGTACTAGGCTGAGCTGTTGTTGTGCCTGTGGTCGGATTGGTGTTGCTAGGCTCACTCACTGCATTGTAGAAAACGTCACCATATTAGAACTTGGATGTAAGCTACAGCTACATGCTGAGCAGAGATAACATACCAGGTAGGGAGGCGGTCACAGGCTCTCCAAAAGAGTCAAGAGACCTCTTCTTTGTTGCCTTAGGTTGCTGCAATCCAGGGGCGTTGATAGGGGTAGAATTTGGTGAAGCATCGGTTGTGTGGCCGACGTTGTTGTTGATCTCTTGTGGTGCTCCAGAAGTACCTGCAAGATGAACACACTTGAGTGTTTAAGAAGCAAAACAGGGAGTATAAAAAGCCAAGAAGGAAACACAACCCATACCTGAGATGCCTCCGTAGTGCTTCCCTAAGATTTGATGCTTGTCCTTGCTTGAGCGGCCAAGAGTCTGGCGAGCAGCCATCATAGCATAAGCAGGAACAGAGTTGTAGTTATTCCGCATGCCTCAGCTAGATATGTATGGTAGAGCTCGAGCAAAGAGTATTGAAAAGAAGTGGCAGTTGATTGCGAAGACATGGAGCTACAGTTTTATAAGTGAGGTGCTTACCTGTGAACGAGGATCAACACCAGGCACGACAAACCGCGTTCGGAGTGACAAAAGCGAGGGAGGTTGAAAGTCTAGCCCCGTGTTTAGGGACCACGCCTCTGAGGGAGGTTTGTAGACTACCAAAGCTAAGTTAGGCTTGTTCGATATCTTAGAAGTTTGAATTGCAGATTCAAACTCAGAGCAGGCTTGGAGAAATCTGGTTGAGAGTACGTGCTGAGGGAGCTGCGAGCGAGGCGGATGAGAGTGCTTGGTGTTCACCTTGGTCTCCAGCCAATGAGGAGCTCGGAACCTTCTGTTCTGTGGCGCGGTCTGATGAAATTTTAGAAAGCACTTTTGAAGTTCACGCTTGGAGTTCACATCCTCGCTGTACATGTTTCTACTGAACAGAACCATTATCTAGCACAGATGAAATAAGCATCGCGTTTCACCATAACAATCGCGGGATGGCCCGGGGAAGGGGGGGGGGGGGGGGGGGGAGTGAGAAGAAAAAAAAAAAAAAAAAAAAAAAAAAAGGACAGTCCAGCAGTCCAGTTGTCTTATCTTCCGCGTTGCCTGAACCGACGAATCACGTAGTCCGTTCGAGGAAGCGTTGTCCAGTGAGACGGTCTGACCAACCAGATTGTCTTTCCATCCCGATGGTGTTTTCGTGTGGAGTTCTGCCAACAAGATTTGTCCATTTAAGCTACACTAAACAACTCACGCGAAGACATTGGAGTGGCAGCGCAGCGGGGCAGTATTTTGCGTGTTGCAAAACCCGAGTGTTTCTTTGGGCAGCATCAGTTTTTTCTGCCGCGAATCGCCTGACGCGGGAGACCCGTTATGTGGTGCTAGGTTTTTTTGTAGAACATATTGTTCGCAGGTTGTGGGATGCCAACTGCCAGCAGCATTGCACTGACCAATGCGGATAGGGCAACTTTGTGCGTCAGACGCCTGGTGAATTCTACGAAGTTGCGCCCGTGCAGCCTGCGGAGGGAAGGACCAGTGCCATTGGTCCAAATTTGATGGTCGTTTGGTTAGCGGAAATTTTTCGACGAACCCACAGGTGTTATCGAATGGTCGATAATTTCTCACATTGGCTGCATGAACACACTGTGCAGTGCAATGCCTCCTTTTTGCATGCGACTGCGCAGCGCACAACTAGTGCAGGCAGGCACTGTGTATAATCTAATCTCGTTACAGTACAGTCGTTTACAACACTTCAATTGGTGCGGGTCTCAAACCGTGGTCCGAAAATCGTAAGGGTGGAGGGAGGTTTAAATGGTAGATTATATGCTGTGTAATATATACAACATTTATATGCATATAAACATGCGTCATCTCCTAAATGGGTTGTACAAAAATGTTGCGCTGTCGTTGCGTACATCATCTGTGAGTGGAGCGACGTGAAGCACACGCAGGATGTCATCAACAGGTACGATGCCGTATGCCCCATCACCACTCGCCCATGTCATGCGGTCCAATACCGATCCTTCAGCCGGACCAAGCACGTTATAAAACCGCACGAAAGCGACCTGCTGGCACTCCTCGCCATTAGTCAGCGTGAACATTAGGAGTAACTTGCAGAATCTTTGTGCATCTGCGTCGTCAGTGGAGTGATCAGTAACAGCAACGTCGGAGAACCACGGCCTGCCGTAGAAAAGAGGAGTGGCTCGAGCGAACTGTGCATGCCGATTGTATATCTCGTAGTTTTCACCAGGCGGAACGGCCACTCCACGATGAAGGTTAACGCGTGCGTCACATGTCCTATCGGGCCCTAAAAAGGACATAATAGAAGGCAACAATTGCTCCATGTTGCCTGGAATAGTGTGTGCATATGCTTGCCACAGCGAAGACCTATCGCCAAGGAGAGCCAGTTGCCCATTCTTGCCAGTTACTGCTGGACACCCAGTTTGCAAGGCCTGGAAACATGAGTGTTAGGGGAGTAGTTGGAGGGATGGTGAGAAAACAAAAATAGTGGCAATGATGGGTCGTGGAGCTGGTCAAAAACAGATTTCGCGTACACATGTACTTACTTGACTCAGCGCCCCGTTCCTTGCAGCTGAGTCTTCTGCTCCTTCTTCTTGGCGTGCGAGTATATCCACGAGCTCAGCCACCAACGCCTTTCGTGCTATCTGCGACTCAACATTCTTTTTGTTGCTTGTGCGGTATGGCCGCTTCATCAGTGCTATGTGTAGATGCTCGTACATATCTGTACAATAGTGAGCAGGAATTCCCCCACGACGAATGTCATCTACGACGTGAAGCATCGCATGTACCTTGGGAAGATTGAACTCGGATGATTGCTGCTCACCAAACACGTCCACCAGCTTAGCGACCAGCCTGCAGTTTGGGTATTAGTGGTACGAAGGATATGAATAGGAAATCGACATAGATAAGAGTTTTGACCACATGTTGAATAAAAAGCAAGAGTACTACGCTTCAAAGCTAGCGGCTCTAGGCTTCACTTACTTCTTAGTGAGTAGATCCAAGACATCTAGGCTGTCCTCCGTGTGATACGGGCGTAGCCACACCTCGGTGTGCCAATAAACGTACAGTGACACCACCTCACGAATAGCTGCAGGCGCATTTACCAACTCAAGAATGATGGGTAGAACCTGCATGACCGACTGATGTTCAAATGCTTGGAACACCCCTCTGTTTGCGAAATAGTGCTTCCCTTCGGATGGCAGGCGGAACAAGGATTGGCGGCTGAAAGCAGTGACGTTTCGCAAAGCAATATCCATAGCAGCAATTTTATCTGGGAGCATCGTGCGTATGCAGTCGACCATGTGCTTGTACACCCCTAGAGCGGACATGTGCATGACATCACACATCAGCGAGCGATATGGATTCCCCCATGTTGTTGAGCCGTTTGGGAATCCCCATATCCCAACCTGCATGTCGGCGGGAGAAAGAGCAGCATAGGTAGACGTCGTACCTAACGAGATAGTGAGTGATTGAGTGAATGGAAATGTGGGGGGGTAATAGAGGAGAGAGGTGGGGGATGTGGTGGCTGGATTTGGGGAGAGAGAGTGTGTGCATGGCAAGGAGGGGGGGAAATGGAAGAGAGGGGTGGGGGATGTGGTGGCTGGATTTGGGGAGAGAGAGTGTGTGCATGGCAAGAAGGGGGGGAAATAGAGAAGACATAGGTGGGGGATGTGGCTGCACGCCATGCACAAAGCCTTCAAAAAAACTCATACAATCTGTGACGTTCCCCTAAACGTTCAAACATGAGGGGACTAGACACTTGCAAGCCCCATCCCAAACGTACTTTGACTCGATGTGTGCTCTCCACAGTTTCGGCTCGAGCTAGAGCTGTGCGACCACGGAAAGCTTGCAGTTGCGCCAGAGTCAGCTTTTGGCCCTCCTCCGTCCTGTACTCCCACCGCGCATCAGCGTTCGCCAAGTTCTCATTCGATATGAGGCATTTCGGGCATGGAAACCGCGTCTGGTTGCCCATTTTCGTCCCCGCCACCTTGCATTGCTCAGGATAATCGCCCACATATGCGTATAGCAACGGGCGAACATACCGAACAACACCTAGGGGATCCTTCATCCTCATTCCCGTTGACTCCACCTCCTTCTGCTTCTCTAGAATCTTCTCCAGACAGGTGTGGAAGATCTCAAGCCGTCGACGTGCCACATCCACTCCAGGCTTGACTACGTGCTTGCTGAAGTCCGGAAGCAAGGCTGCTAATCGTCTGCCATGAGGCTTCCAGCGTTCTCCAGATGAGATGTTACCCAATGAAACATAGACAGGGTGACCAGTTGCTGATCCATCCTTGGCTAGTTCAGTTGCATCTGAATATAAGATGACAGCAGCAATAGATGCACCATCTGGTAGTCCAGCCACAGCCTCTCTCCAGAATGATCCTGTCGAAGGTTCTGTGAATCTGTGTGCTTCTTCACTCTCGCTGCTGTCTTCAAGTTCCGCTACAAAACCTTCTGCATTTGCAGGATTGCTGAATAGGTCAGCCACGCATGCCCATGTCTGCCGACACCACAGGATCACTGGCGTCGCATCCTGCTCCTTGTCTGTGATGTCAACTGGCTCCAAGGGTTGCAATCCAACCTCTTTTTCCAAGGACTCCTCAAACCGGTCCACATCTGCCAGAGTCTCGAAGCTGAGTGGGGTTGTCTGCGCTTCCTTGAACAACCTCAGCAGCTCTTTCACTGTTTCACGAGACAAACCAGTCCCTCCATTCCCGGTTTTGGTGAGCATCCAGAACTGGCCATCAATATGCATCAATGGTTCGGTCCGGGCCATGGAAAACTCATACCCCGTGTTATCCCAACTCGGAGTAGCCTCATCTGCAGCCCGAGGAGGCACTGCAGTAGATTCTTCACGAGCAGATGCCGAGCAAGGGCTTGCAGGATGTGTAGGAGCTGTGGACTGGACTGGTTGCAGAGCTGGGCCATAAATGTGGCGCTCGCTTCTTATATGATTGGTGCGCTCATCTTGGGACCTGAAAGAAGCAAGGCATCCTGGTTCATTACACACAATCCGCCGCCTCTTCCTTCCATCCATCCTGATAACAGCTGAAGTGTTGCCTGGGAACGGTCCTCCACTATATAATTAGAGTACAAAGATATAAGGAAGTATTCTGAACCTTAGAAGTATGCTGTGCTTAACAGCACATACTCTGCAGCAGGATTCGGGCCGCCAGAAACGAAGAAACCCTGTACTACGATATAATAACCACGAATATCAAGCCTAAAGGTGCTGCATCCTCCTAGGCGTTAAGTACACAGACTATAGACTGCATACGCCCGTTCGTGCCAGAACCGCCTGTGCCGTCTTAACCAGAAACACCAGACGACTGAAGGTGAGCCCCCATGTACAACGCGAATTTAGTGAGAAAAAGCCACGGAAACCATATCCACTCCTTCGAACCTACATTTAAAAATCGCCACGAACGTTGATGACGGTCTGAGGCTAAGCCAGGTAATAATTCGGAGTAAGTGCGGGCACTACAAGGAGAGTTGGACTGGGGGTCGAGCTGACTAAATTAGGAAACTGTCGCTGGAAAATGCTAAGGACGTACATGTGAGACACATCCACAGAGGATGAATTTGGGTCCGCGGAGAGAAGCACGCCCGATGACGAGAGCAGGGAGCAATGACGACTTTGACGCAGGGTGGACAGCAGGGCCAGTGAGAAACCCAGGGTGTGTCCAGCGCGTACGTTTACAGTACACAGATCACGTTTCAGCAGGATATATCACGATCAGGAGTGCTTCTCGCGCTTCACCACGTTGGAACTCTGAAAACCATATTGAACCGTATAAAGTGAATTTTAAACGAACGCGCTGGACGCGCCCTCATCGACCTATCAGCAATCTCCCAGGGTTGGCTGGAGTGCGGCGATTCGCACCCTCAACATGAGTGACGTGTCTCGTCGCCAGGCGCGAGAATTGCGCGATAATTGCACCTCGCGCTTCGCGCGAAATTTGTGCTTGTTCAAACTTTAGAGGTGCAGCTGACGCGTACAGTGCCAACGTCAGCCATTAGCAGCAATTCGCGCCACACTCTGACAATGCTACACCAAAAACTAGGCTACGTGGCAAAACACGTTTCTCGCTGGCGCCCGACATTGTGGTTGTGGATGCTTGTGCAAACATCGGCTGTTAAATCCACTCATCAATCTCCAACTGGACGATATTCACCTTGCTGGGTGATATACGCGGCACTGCCTGATCTCATATAAATTAGGCAGCTAACCCTTCACCAATCCTTTTGCCATGCAACGTACCAGGTACTACACTGCTAATGGTGGAGGCGTCATTTCGATGATCACATTTTAAAAACATACTCTGATAAAGTTCAAATGAATAATTAAACAACACAGAACCAGTATAAGACATTGGGCTCAATTACACAACACATACACAACCTACAATGACATATTTTACACATGCAACATGTACAACCCCATCTTCTCGCGAGGTGTATTACAAGATTGCTGCTATTGAATCTCACAGTATGCAAAACGCGACAGGGCCGCTACCACCCACAACTTCGCCGAGTTGATATCAACATCCAACTGATTGGCCCGTCGCTCGAAGTCGAAATCATTTTGCCACACGTGACGCCTTTCGACCAATAGGGTATTGAGATGACATCGTTTTAGAGCTGCTTCTGATAGATTTACTATTTGCAAATGATTTGAGTTGCGATGAAGTTGAGACCGTGTTGAAAACCGGGTTTGCTTATTCTCCGATGCGGAACTACCATGTGGTTTGTGATGCGAGAACTTACTTAGGCTTGAGAGTGACTTTCTTTGCAAAGCCAGCGAGAGTCGACTTGCTGCACGCCAGAGCAGTCGTGCGGTACTGAGTGCCGTTCATCGGCACACTCACAGAAGCTGTCCCTGCCGTTGCTGCCGTTGACATCGCTGGTGGTGCTGCAAGGGCTCCTTGGAATGCGGCTGCTAACAATATTACCATTGTCCCAATGAATGCTGCCACTAGAGGTGCTGTTCTGAGAGTTAAGAGAGCCATTGGATGGGATGAGATGGAAACCGTAGGCGAATCTGGTGAGATGAAACGATGCAGAGCTGGGAGGGAGAACTAAGACTTTCAGGAGTAACTACCTGAATAGCGGCAATTGCGGCTGGCTAGTTTTGAAGCAAGAAGGGGTTGGATGAGCTGAATGTGCGAAAATTGGTTTGGTTTGATTCTGGCTACAATCTCCTCGCGTAAATACCAACCCCGAGCCGCATTTCATGTGCTGAATCTGTCCACTCGCCGCTGCGACAGGCTGGAAATTGAGTAGACTGTTTCGCTTACTCGATGGGCCACTCAGAGGTGAGGAGAAGGCTAGAACGATTCCTCCTCGCGAGATTCGACTTGTCGCGAGCCACACTCCCCTTGTTCCGACTTTGCCACGTCATGGGAGATTCCGCCTTCGCAGAAATCCAAGGGCGAGACGCGTCAACGGAGATTAGTCAACACCTAACGGGTGGCATGTGGCATCAGTTTCAACCAGATTGAAGGAAACGGGGAACCAACGTCAGTAGGGTTCTTCATACAGTATACACAGAGGTGAAATTGTGGGGACAAGTCCACGTTTGTTGCCTACACCAACAGTTATAATAAAGGGCCACATATAATCTTGGAGATCAAATGAAACCTGAGCTTTACATACCACAAGCCATTTGGCTTGCCTTGAGAAAAGAATTCAGAATAAAGGCCTGCAAGGACAAGAAGGAAAAAAAAACATCACTGAAAAGTGAAACCACTGGGCTATACTGAAATATGAAACATGTTAGCACACTGATCTCGCTGGCTGCTCCAATATCATCCTCCTCCTCGTCATCATTGGCATCAACTAGCTCCACCATTCTCTCCATTGGCTGAAAACGTTGCTCTCTCAACTTCCAAGTGGGGCTCTTATCCTTGTGCACAAAACCACCAACTCCTGCTTTACCTTTACCAACCCCATCCAACCTGTCCACTCCTCTCTTAACCCCCTCCCGTGATCCATCCAACCTCGCGGTTACCCCAACCCCCCTCCGTATTGTCTCACTCCCAATTGTCCCGTTCTCCCCTCCCTTGGCTCGCTTAAGTGGCGGTATGTATGGGGCTTGCTCTACATCCCCTGATGCCGCTGCCAAGAACCACTTGCCCTGGGACACAGGCTGGCTTGTGAGGTTCTCCTTCTCCCTGAAGGGCGGCGGGGAACAGGAAAGCAGCAAAGAATTCAGGGAGAGAAGAGAATCGCTCGCTCCTCATCTCCCTTTGCCGCTGCCAGGAACCACCTGCCCTGGGACGCAGGCCGGCTTGTGAGGTTCTCCTTCTCCCTAAAGGGTGGCGGGGAACAGGAAAGCAGCAAAGAGGTCAGGGAGAGAAGAGAATTGCTCGCTCCTCATCTCCCTTTGCTGCTGCCAGGAACCGCCTGTCCTGAGACACAGGCCGGCTTGTGAGGTTCTCCTTCGCCCTGGGGGTCAGACTGGTCAGAAACCACGAGAAGTGGGAGACATCAAGGGCGCCGGGGTAAGGGGGAGGGGGGAAGAGGGGGGAGGGGCAGGTGGAGGGGCTTGAGGGCGGGGAGTCATGAATCAGCCACCCCATACATCTCTGTTACAGCTTGATAATTGCTCTTCAGAATAAGCGTCCATGGCACTATTTACTAGAATCGAAGATCCCTTGAGGGGTTTCCTGTGCCATGCTGAGACAAGCAAAATCCACACAAGCTTACACAAGCTTACACACGCGGTCTCACGCATTCTCACACGAACCAACACATCTGAGAATGCTCTTCAGTGCTTCTTGGTTCAGAGCTGCTACAGGCTTCGCCCTCCTCTTGCTGCTCTCACTGCCTTAGTGCCCAGAACTCACGCTTCAGCAGCTGGCTTTGAGTCACGCAAAAGGAAGCTCACACAACCCACCTGAGAATGCTCTTCACTGCTTCTTGGTTCAGAGCTGCTACAGGCTTTGCCCTCGGCTCGCTGCTCTCACTACCCGAGTGGCCAGCACCCTGCAGTACCTGCCGGGAACGCCGCATATTGTTCCTATAGAGAAAGGCGGTCGAAAGGTTCCTGTGGGGTGTGATTATAAGGAGAGAAGGACAGCGGAAGAATTTTGGTAACGGACGGTAGCCAACAGCACCTGCCGAGACTGCCACACCTTGTTACCATAGAGGAAGGCGGTTGAAAGTTTTTTATTGGTTGTGATTGTATAGAGAAAGAATGGCGGTGGACGGATTGTGGATTTAGAGCTTGTCGTGACAGTCAGACGTTGCTCTTATATTAAAAGGTGGAAGAGAAGTTTACTAGCTAGCAGGTTACTAGCTAGCAGGCTACCAGCTAGCAGGCTACCAGCCAGCAGGCTACCAGCCAGCAGGCTACCAGCTAGCAGGTTACCAGCAGGTTACCAGCTAGCAGGCTACCAGCCAGCAAGTTACTAGCTAGCTGGTTACCACCTAGCACTACCCTGCGAATGACTTGAGTATGCCCATTCAAGGAGAGGCCACTCACCCGCCATCGAGCTCCAGGCAGCCTGGCTTCACCTTCTGGTTTGCTGCTGCAATGTCCATGCCAGGTTACCAGGGTAGTCCCCGCCTATCACTATAGAATGCCAATTAAAGGAGAGGCCACTCACCCGCCATCCAGCTCTAGGCGGCTTGGCTTCACCTTCTGGTACGCTGCTGCAATGTGGCGGTCGCAGTACTCCGCAAGGTTTCTGGCAACAGAGCAGCGTAGGAGCAGATGGGATGGGATGAGAAGGGGTGCAATGTGGCGGTCACAGTACTCTTTGAGAGTTTTGGGATTCAAAGGATTGGATGAGCAAGCATGGGATGAGATGGCAGGGGATGAGGTGGTAGGGGATGAGGTGGCAGGGGATGAGGTGGCATGGGATGAGGTGGCATGGGATGAGGTGGCATGGGATGAGGTGGCATGGGATGAGGTGGCAGGGGGTGCCTCCAGAACTGTACATACTTGTTTCTAGAAGGCACGCACTTGTTTATGACAGCCTGGCATGGCTCGTTGTTGTCTGTGGTTGTGGTTGTCTTGCAATATACCACAGACCAATATCCGAATAGACAAGGATACGCACTTGTTTCAAGAAGGCAACAGCAGAGTGTGAGAACCCGAGGGAGCAGAAATGAACGAGTTGCACATTAGTGAACAAGTCAATTGTATGAGGCCCTCAATGCCTCTCTAGCAGCAGGAACCACGGCCGGGTCAATGAGTAGCCGTCATCGAGCTCAATATTGGACAGAGCATCGGTCTCGGTATTCAGCTCGCGGGGAATCCATTGGATAGTAAGAGGAATCATATGGCGCACGAACAATTGAATAATCGCGCGGCATATGAACGTAAGCTCAGGACGGCGAGAGCCTCCCTTTTAGAGGATGTAGTAGTTCGCATGACTGTCGCTGCGGAGCATGATGTGCGAACACCGCATTTTGGTGGAAAAGGCCGAAAGGGACCAAAAGATTCCGGCTAGCTTGCAAAGAATACTGGACAAGCCCAAGAGGACTAGAGGCAGCGGGGAGGAGAGCGAGCCGACAGGACCGTTTGGCGCAGAGTAGCATGCCCCCCATGCATGGTCACTAGCATCCGCGTGCATGATCACGTCGTACAAATGCGGGTTGTAGGAGCGGGCGCCGTTTGAACACGCTGTTTGAACACGGTTCGCATCCACAAGCACACATCAATCGACTCAGGGGTTCGGAGAATGGTCGCCCACCATGAATGGCATTCTGTGATCTGCGTGAGAAGGTGGTGGGAGAAGGCGCGCGCGACAGTTCCAAGTGCCAAGGACATGGAGGCCAACATGCCGGTGATGCGGGCGACGCGGTGAACAAGGATGCGATGCCCGTTAGCACTGAGTGCGCATAATTCTTCCAGCTTGGCAAAAAGCCGGCTGCGTCGATTCGCATCGACAGAGAATGTGGTGGTGCGCGTGTCTAGCAAGAGGCCCAAGAACTTCAGAGACTTTGTTGGTGCGAGATGTGATTTTTTGAAATTTACAACAAAGCTTGTGGATGCGAGGTCGACGATGATTTTAGAGCGGTTGTGCAGTGCCTCCGTTCGAGTGGCACTGATGAATATGATATCATCGACGTATGGAATAAGGCGGATGCCACGTCTACGCCATCACTTAGAAAGTTGCTTGATTAAAAAGAATGGCACCGTAGCCAGCTCAAAAGGCAAGGAGAGGAATTGGTAGTCCTGCCGTTGCAGAGAGAATCAGGAGAACCAGCCAAAAGGCAGGGTGAACGTCGACAAGGTGGTATCCGGATTTGAGATCGATCGTGAATAGCCACTCGCCTTCTTGCACCAAATCAGGCACGCGAGTAAGTCTTTTGTAGCGAAAACGATGTACCAAGAGCAATGAGTTAATGTGCCGCAAGTCCAATATGAGCCTCTTTTTAGAGGATTGGACAATCACGTTTAAGAGGCTAACACATGTAAGGGTGGCGGAAGGAGGTATGACCCGAGCTGCACCAGTGGCGAGAAGCTCGGCCACTGTATCTACTATGAAAGAGGTGAATTTCAAGGCACCGGCATGATTCTTAGTTCGAGACGGAGGGGGCTCAGAGGCAGCCCATGGTAGGCGATAACCGGATGTGATCACCGATAGAATCAAGCGATAGTCGCACCACGCAATCCACCATGCAGCACGGACACGGAGGTGGCCTTGCATGCGGCTAATCTCGGTTGTGTTATCAGCATAGGCCGAAAGGGTTCCAAGCTCTGGTGGGAGAGCGAACACACATAAGGACGACAGAGAATAATGAAATTTGACTCACCACCTTTTGTTCCGAGCACAACAAGTGAGGGATTCTTTTCTTCCCCCTCAAGGGAGGGAAGGCAAACGCTAATTACGTAGGTGCCGTCTCACTCACAATTCTTCAGTCGTGTGTCATTCCTTAAGGGATATACCCTGGGGTTGGGCATGTTAACTTGGCATGCCTGGGCTGTGTTTGGTTGTCATATACACAGTAACGGAAACAATTGTTCCTATGTTTTGCATTCATTTGGGTTTTTAGGTTTTATGACCACCATAGATTAAGCTGTAATGTTTAATCGTGGTACGATTTGGGAGGGGCACATAGTGAATGTGTTCACAGCACAAAAGTCCAGAACAGTACATTGGATCTAAGTCATATTCTAGAAGATAAAC